CACAGCAAAGTCGTTTTCAGGGTAAAATGGAAATGTTTCCCGTGGGTGGTTTTAAAAATGAAAAGCCGAGCAGAGATTAAAAATAGGACTGCTGGCTAACTGTGGCAAACTGGCCTGTTATGTAGCATGCTGCAGGCTACAATAAAAGAGAACCCAGGAAGATGGCACCAGGAAGGTGGGGAGATCTGGTCTCCTCCTCTGTTTTGCATTCTGGGATGGTGGGGGGCAATGAAAATAGTGCATGTAGCATCAGCACCCAGGACAAAGACTCTTGTGGTCTGTGAAACTCCAAGGGAGAGAGTCGGGGAAAGGGGAGTCTGTGTTGGCCAAGGAAGGGAGATGTGTGTGTCTGTGCAGGCTGGAGGGGGTCATGAAGGGGAAGGTCTGTGCTAGATTCCCTGCCACAGAGTCATAGGCTATAACATGTATAGCATGAGCATTGTTTAGCCCTCCCAGTACTGCAGCAAATGGGCCCAGTTGGAAGATGAAGCTTGAATCTTCTCTGGATTCTGGTGCTAAGTCTGGGCCTCCCCAGAACAAGAGCTCTAGCACTGGTATAGGGGTAAAGCTCCAGCTGCCAGCTTCACACCCACCGGTCCTTGGCTACTGACCCCTTCCACCCACAGAGCTGAGGTTCTTTGGCACGGGGGACGGACAAGGAGTTGAACACACGTGCGATGTGCACCACCGCCATTTTGAATGCTTGGCATTACCTTGCTCCCCACCCCATAGCCTCAGCCTGTCTTTGTTACCGACACATCATCACCCAGGGCTGTGTTTGGTAGACAGCTGTAAACAACTTTGGCTGACCTTCAGCCAGCTCTGGTCTATTTTGGGAGCCTATAAATGATGGGGCCGGCCAGCAGTACTGCTCGCTGTGTAATTAGTGGGTTACACAGCAACTAGTCCAGGCGCCTCCTGCTAAGATCCAAGGGATTTCCAAGCCCTGATGCCTGCCATCAGCCCTACCGTTATGGCTAAGGCCCTGACATTGCTGCACATTGTCCCTCCCAAGGGATAATTCTGCATGAGTCTTCTTAGCGCCTTTAACCCTATTTTTACAGTTTCTTCCAGTGAGGGATGAAAGCATCCACATAGCCTGGTGCATGGAAGAAGGTGCCGTGTTCATTAGGTCTAAGACACGGCACCCTCTGCAGTTTCTCCTCTGTTGTTTCTCTCCTCATGAGGTTTGTTCTCCTCTGTCCACAGCCAAATGGTGGCTGGCAGCACAGAATGACTCAAGGCTTAGTGAAGGGGAGGGGTTTTTTGGCTGTTTCCTTGGAGGAAAGCTTTATGCATGCACAGATGTGGGTGCAGCACCTCCTCTTTGTGAACAGTGCTGTCATTGGGGCTGGGATTTCTACTGTTCTGCAGATGCAAAGATCCAACTATGTATAGCTCTGTGTGCATCGGAAACAATCTCCTGAGATGCCTGCCCTGCCTCACAGGGCCCAGCAGCTGTTCCACTGAGGCATTTCTTAGAGTCCAGACCATTCATTTCCACACCCCCAAAGTCAAAGAGCTTGTATTTATCTCAGCACACTTGGTCCTGACTTTCACAGCATACTTGGTGGCAACTGGCTCACCACCTGCCAGCAAGCAAGGTCCAAATTGGGGGTAATGTCATTCAGTGGGATGCAGATGTTCCACCTTTGACAGCAAGACTTGGGGCTAGTGAGTGTTAGCCATTGACAGCGGGAGTCTTGAGATAGGCCCAAGTGTTCCAGAGAGAACTATTTACCCTTTGAATCATCCTCCTCCCTGTCATCTTCTCCCAGATGTAGTTTATTTTTTGGAACTATATATAGTCTCTTCTCCTGATTATACATGCCTGACTATTACTGCTGCTTTCTTAGGCATGACGTGAATAACTGGCCTCATGGTTGATTTCTTAATGTATTATTATCGCCGTTTGAATTGAAGTGGGTGGGTTGGTTTATCTCAAGCCTTTTAAAATTTAATTTTGGTTGAGTTTAATGACACAGCCATGCCAATGCCCCTGACTAGGCATGATTCTAAGCACCTCTTTCTGTTGCAGCCCTCGGCCTCACGTACTCATCGAATGCTGATGTTCCTCAAACTGGAACTGAAGCTCTTACCACTGTTCTAGCCATGGGCCTTTTATCCGCCTTTGGGCTAATAACTTCAAATTTTACTTATACCGTACCCCCTTGCTATTCTAGTCCTGGACCATTCTTGAGTAGTGATTAGGATGGATGCCTAATTAGTGTTGAGGATATACTATGTTGATAAATGTTAGCTAACACCATCCAAGAGCAGGAAAATAAGGCACGTGCCCTTAGCTAAGCACTGTGAACAGAGGGGTTAAAACCTAAAAAGCATAAATAGGATTGCTGCTTATCCAGACCTCTATGGCAGGGGTCTAGAATTAAAAATCATGAGCAGATGGTTAGACTTTCTCCATTAATCTCAAGTACACAAGTGATAAAGTGTTTTCTTTCTACTGCATTAGCGTACTAGAAGTCCTCCCAGAGTAGTTTTGCTGTGGGGGGCATCTTGTCTCCTGTCTACCACCCCCTTTCTTCTGTTCTCTTAACTTGTTGTTTGGAGGGGAGTATTTGCTATTGTGTGGATGAATTACCAGGAGAAAAGTATCCTAGGTATTTTCTCCGAAAGCCAGAGGGACGATTTTAATAGCACCATGCAGACTGCATAAATATCTATCTTAATTACAAGGTGCCTGGGTTGTAGCTTTCCACCTCCTGTTTGAATCAGTAAGGAGAAAGCAACTATCAAAACAACCTGAGAGTGGAATTTTCCCCCTCTCTGCGGGCCATGCCCTAACCTTCCATTTCCAAATGTGCTGATGCTCTGGCTCCCTTTGTTCTTTGGCAAGCTCCTGCTTCTCCCATAGGTGCCATCTCCCCCCTAAATGTTCTCTTTGGCCAGTGCCGTCCCTGTCAGGGTGCAATTTAAATGATTAGTATAGATCTACTAAACTCCAGTCTGAGCTGGGGTAATTGTCAGCCCTTGGGTAACAGAGCACGTAGAAAACAACAAGCATCCAGGGAACATCCCCCTTCCTGCTGCTTTGCTTCTAATGAAGGAGAGGCATTCTGTGCAACGGAAGAGGACTAAAGAGAGAGAGCTGGGAGAGCAGGATCTGCTGAGTGCATCTCAGAGCAGATCATCCCTTGCAAACTTATTCCTGGTAAAATTCCACTGATTTCAGTCAAGGTTCTTTGGGTAAATCTGATATCTTTTATTAAACTAACTAAATAGTTGGAAAACATTTTCTTGGCAGGCTTTCGGGGTTAAAAACCCTTTGTCAGGCTGAGGAAGCATCTGCAGTTGGTGTGTGTGCTCTTCCTGGATGGAATGAATAGTAAAATAGCTTCTTTACTATTCATTCCATCCAGGAAGAGCGCACACCAACTGCAGATGCTTCTTCAGCCTGATGAAGGGGTTTTAAGCCCAAAAGCTTGCTAAGAAAAAATTGTCTAACTATTTAGTTGGTCTAGTAAAAGATACAAGATTTATCCAAAGAACCTTGTTTGCCTGTGTCCTTAAACCGTCCTTAGTACAACCTATACCACTGATTTCAGTCAACTTCTTCCAGGATTAAATTTGACTTCACATGTCTCTCTTCTCTTTTCTTCTCTCTCTTTCCTTTTGCAATCCCCCCTATTCTGCCTGTGAGAAATCTGAGCTCTGCTCTGCTGACCAAAGAATAGGGTAGGTTGGACTCTCAGCATAAAGAGCAGGGAGATGATCATTTGGGTTTGTCCACAATGGGATTTAGGTTCCTGCAACAGGAGAGGTTTAGAACATATTAATCAGAGAAGGAAATGCCTGGCTATCTCACACCCCACGGATGCCCTTCCTGGGCTGCAGAGCTAAAGCTCAACAGGTTATAACCACTGGGGAAAGGAAGGGATGGGACATCTTGTCTACCTTGAGCTGGGCTGGTTGTTAAAGTATTGAGACCTGCCCCTCCAAGTGCCCAAGGTCCTATTCCAAACTGATTGACTCCCTGGCTCCTTCTTTATGCCACAAAGTAAGGGTCTGTCAGGTCCTTTAGGACATCTTGTATTGGGTACTATCCCTCTACCTTCATTCTAGGCTGTCTTTCCTTCCCTCCAGTCTAGTCCTTGACACACCCTCCACACATCTTCTAATCTGGGTGGATCATCATCATTTAATAACGTGGCTGGCTCAAATTGTTGTATGTTCAATCCCAACATGATTCCTACTGTGTTATTAATCCTGAGAGCTAACCAGGCTCCTTCTCTAGCTAAGGCCTAAGTCGGTATATGGCTCTCTGCTTATGATCAGAGCTGCACCGTGTCATTTTGAAGCATGGATAGGACTCCTGGTAACCTGTCTGGCCTTCCTGCCTTCTAGCTCTCTATGCGATAGGGCAAGCCAGAGACCACTTACTCCATTTTCTGGTGCTTCTGTATATGCTAAGAGCAGTCTTCCCACTAGGGGATAGATGTCTAGAGTGCCTTGAAACAGAATGAGGCTGTATGGTACGGTGCAGGCACAAACCCTCACATGATATGGCTGTATTGTCAAAGAAGCTGTTTGTTGTAGCCTGTGAGAAAGCACCATGCACTGTCCTATTTAAATAAATGGGTGATTTAAAAGCATCTCCCCCCCCTCCCCCCCCACTAAAAATCCCTTCAGATGAGGCTCCCCTTTTTAATCTCTGCAGGCCACAAGGTCACACTTAAATCTGGTATCTTGGGCCCCAGTGCAACCAAAGGTATTTATATCTGCACTGTACATTTCCTAATGATTCATTTAACATGGTAAGTTGTGCCATTTCCCACTGGGGACAGCAGCCTGCTTCTTCCATGCAGTCTGCTCACCACACACTCTTGACAAATCCTGATACTGATCAAGGGACAGACTTGCAAAGGTATTTGGGCACCTAAAGCTGCAGAGAGGCCCCTAGAGAGCTACAAAAACATCTTGGCTAGGCTCTTGGGTACCTACTCTGCAGTTCCATCATGTCGTGGGCACTCCGTACCTACCCATGCCCCGTGGATCTGTCAGTGAGGTTCTTGGGGTGTTACTCTGCAGTCACTCTGAAAGCCTCCATCTCCACTGTGACCTTGCCAGCATGTTTCTGGGTGTTGGGTGTGCCTGCAGGATGGGTGGAACCGGCGTGCTCAATAGCGTCTCCAGCCAGAAAGCGCTGCCCTTATGAAAAACATGCACTCAGCCCCATTGAATTCAATAGGAGTTAAATGTGAAATCTGCTGCTGTGCCTTTGTAAGTCCTAGTCTGTGCTGAGAGGCTGTAGGAAATGTGGCCCTAGATGCTCTGCTAAATCCTCAATCTTCCAGCTGGTTAGAGGCAGGTCTGGAGTTCACTTGGAGGCCTCTTCTGACCCAGGGACTCCTTGAGTGCAGTGTTTGCAGAGAGGCCTTGGGATGCCGAAGAATCTCCAGTTCCCTGTTTGCACTGACTTGTGGGAAGTGGATGCGACTCAAATGTCTGTTCTTATGGTGAATGTCAGTAAATGTCAGCTGAGTTTCAGTACGGGCACGGCCCCTGACTCAGCCTGCCCAGGGGAAAGTCCCTAGATCTGTTTGTGCTTCTCAGCTCAAACATAAAAGGCACAATTTCCTCGGGAGACTAGTTTTGCTTTACCACGTGACAGAGGAGAGAGGCCCCAGACAGAGTGAGCACAGAGGACTCGGGGAGTGAGTGGGAGTTCAGTATAAAGGGCAGCAGGCTTCTGAATTCATCCTCGCAGTCTGAGAGTCCAGGAGATCTGTTAAATAAACCAACAAGTAAAAAACCCTTAGCTTCTAGATAAAAATGCTGATTCTCACTTCAGTTACATTACTATCAATCAGGTTAACTCCACTGATGAAGCCAGTGTAAACCAGAATCAGACCCCAAACCTAGTACCCAGTCGCAAAGTAAAAACCCCAGTGTAGCTGTGGAGGTCGAAGACCAGCAGTAGATTAGACTTGGGGTAGAAGGAGCGAGGTCTCAGTTTACAGCACAGAAAGCAGAACATGCAAGAACTTGTCTTGCAAACAAGAGTCTTATATTAGCACCCATGGTTTTTCTCTCGTGGTCCTCAAAGCCCAGCTCAGGTTGTGGCCTGAGCTACTGAACTGCTAGAGAAGGAGCAAAATGAATTACTGGGACAGCCTGACCTACCTCAAAACAAACTCCCTTGGTTTTCCAGTTCAGGAAACCAATCTTGCAAGAGAAGGGGATAATGGTAAAATGTAAGGATGAACATCCTGAGATAGGATCCACCTTCTGGCAGAAAGAAAAGAATATCACTTCTTGATCCAATAGGCGAGTTTAAAGGGGCAGTACTTGAGGGGGTGAGCATGGCCCCTGCTGTGGCTGCTGCTTCTCCAGGTTGTTGAATGCTGAACTATTTGCCACAGCTCTTCCCACTAGTTCAAGGACCAAGTTTATAGTCATTGGAGCCTGTTGTACTTGGGTCTCTTAGCTTGAAGTGCCTGTTACCAAATGTTATTCTCCATGTGAATCCTTATAGACTAATCAAGTCACCCTTTAACCTTCTTGTTGATACTCTAAATAGGTTGAGCCTTTGGAGCCTCTAGCTATAAGCCATGTTTTCCAAGACATTATCTGGGTTGGAGGGGATTATTTAAACTAGGAGCTGAAGGAAAGCCAGCAGGGAAGACAAAGCCATCTGCTTTGCATGCCAGTAAAACAAATCTCTCTCTGTATCTAGTGCAGGATAGGCCAGAAACTACAGCAGAGGAAGGGCAGGTTACATCAGAGGCAGATAATGTTGGGAAAGTAACAGAGTGTCAGATAAAGGAGTGCAAGAAAAAATAGACATGTAGCCTACATATAATTGTATGTATATCACTGAGAGCCACGTCGATGTAAAAATAGGTGAAGTAGAATGCCTGGCACTGGCCAAGGGCATTGGCATATTAGTCAGTACTGAAACATGGTTTTGTGACATAAGAGTCCTGTCAAACACAGTGAAATGACAAACATCACTTGCCTATGATAAGAAGACAATGGTGTAGCAACAGAGCTGAGCTCTGGACAAAAATAGCAGCATGGGACTATAGGTGAGGAGGAAGGTGACCAGCAGACCTGAGAGCAGGCCCTTGACTATCAAAGGTTTAAACTCATAAGCCTTTGTCATCAATGGTGACATGGTACTTGATACCAGATGGCCAGACCTAACACAGTGAAGCACAGGCTTGCCATGCCTTGGAGTGACCAACTGTGACTACATTCTCTTGCCCACTCCTGCTATTTTACACTTGCAGTGAAACGTAGTCATTCACCTTTTGAATCCCAGACTGACCTGACCTGAAACTGTAACGACATGAAGTACCAGATGGCTGAGCATGTGTTCTCCTTCCTGAAGATTGTACCACTGTCTTGCTGCAGTGTGACCCCAGTTGGAACCATTGCTGGAGTCTCACAGACCATTACAGAGGAGGGCCCTGCTCCCTCTTCTCATGCCTGCTACTTTCCTCCTTCCCCACCATCCTGTTCTTCTCTTTCTTCCCTTTCTTTTCCTTCTGCTCTTGTCCTGCCCTCATTGCTCAAACAGAAAAGGCACAGTAAAAAGCCCTAAGAAAGATAAGATTCCTCATGGCTCTTCTCACTATGGCTTTCAAGGCACACACACTGGGTGTTGTCCAGCACAGTGCAAAATTCTGGACTGTGGCCTAGAGACTCAGGGTTAGAAGCTGCATTGGGCTGGCTTCTTAAACTGTAGTTACTCTCCCATTTTTCATCTGTTTTTTCTAATTCTCAAAGTTTAATAGGCTTGACCTGGAATGTGGGTGATGGGGTTGGGGGCTATGGGGAATAGTTTGGATCAAAATGAAGACATTTATTGCACAAATTTCTTCTGTTGGTGAAAGGGGCTGATTTGGATTAATAGATATTTAAGGCGAGAGGGGGATAACTGGGTTATAACCACCCAGTCTGAGCTGTAGCAAAACATACACTGTAGAACTTCACTTAGTGTTTTTGCACCTTTTGGTAAATTGTTTCAGGTATTAACCTCAACTATTAACGTGACAATTTCTAACTTCTGGCTACTGGATTTTGTTATGCCTTTGTTGACTAGACTAAAGAGGTCTTGAGGTTATCAGACCTTTTCTTTCTGCTTAGCTGCATGTACCTTGTGATCAACTCACTGTTTACATTTTTGTGCAGTGTTGTAAATAGATCAAATTTAAGTCCCTGAATAAGGCTTCTTTTCCAGACCACTGTTCATTCTTATAACTTTGACGACACAGACCAAATCTCAAAGAATACTTGAACTGTGAAGATGCTGAGAGAGGGGACTGCACATAGCTTGCTTGTTTTGCCTATAGCATTGTATCTTTGGTTTGTGAGTAGTGTTAAGAAATTCCTCTGCAAAGGCTGTGTCTTGCTTCAGCTGTCCTGGATTAAACTATAAACAGGATACTCACAATGGTGGATCTCTGGGATGGTAATGGGGCAGCAACAAAGGTGTCTTGTGGCAGAGGCACATTCATTTTGGGCAGCCTTAAGCAATTGGGTCATAGGGTAACATTCCCTAAAAATAACACCCAGAGGGTCTGTGCTCAGGAGACCAGAGCCAGAGACTGGTGGGAAGCTGTTCAGATGCAGGAGAGCTTAAAAGCTCAGACAGATATAGACACATTGGCAAATTGTCAGTATCTGTGTTAAAGTGTGGACACCCGAACTGGGCACAGTATCCCAGCAGTCATCTTGCATTGTTATGTATAACCCCCATGGACTGAATCCTCTGTTCAGTCCCACTGTAAGACAGTCCAAACAAGGGAGGATGAACCTAAATCAATCAGCTGCAACTCTTTGAATAAGACTGTATGTAGCATGCTAGATCCAAATTCCGCAGGAAAGCCCTTGGATACTACAATGCCTTTGTGCAGTAGATTGGAAATACTGCAAAAACTTTCTTTACATTCTGAATTGGAAGATTATCATTTAATTATATGTAAACATGAATGATGATTCAGCATAGTTATGCATTATGTTAAATATATTTTATGCTGTCCATATGTCTGTGATGTGCATATTTTTGCATTAACACCTGACTGTATTGGATTGTTTTCAGGTAGCAGCTGGAGGTATTTATTCGGCAGCCAGAAAGGGGCAGTTGAGTCTTTGGGCTCCTGGGAAGGCAGCTGGGGAATTATGTGAAATAAGCAGCATGTTTTAACTAAAGCGTTTCAATAGTGAAATAGCCAGCAATGTTGACTGTGTTACCTGTTAGGTTTAAATCTGAACATGCCACTGAGATGAATGTCAGAAATATTGTTGCAGTCTCTTTGCAGGCATAATACCAAGTCTTCTGGAGTGGCTTTGCCATTATGACTGGAAACATAATAGTTTTGAAATGAAGGATGAGATTCTGGATCTCAATCCAGTGGCAAGGGGTCTACAAGAATTTCAAGGTTGACCTTTTCTGTAAATGTGAGTTAAGTTCACATTCTGTGAGTTAACTGTTGGCCCCTTTACTAAGATAGTCAGGGAAGGTTTATGCTGCTGCATGTCTTTTCTTCCTTCTTTCCTTCTTTCTTTCTTTCAGAAAAGTTATCATTGTATGTAGATATATAGCCATGAGTTTCTTACACTGCAATCATGATGAGGCCTAGAACTGAAGTCTTTCAACACAGGCTGGAGAGCTGGGCAGATCAAAACCAGATGAAGTTTAACACTCAGAAGTATAACATGCTCCATCTGGGGGCAAACAATCCCCAACATATCTACAGGCTCAGTGGTGACAATTTGACTTGCACCACGGCCAAAAGGGACCTAGGGGTAGTGATCGACCAACACATGAACATGAGCTGGCAGTGCGATGCAGTGGCCAGCAGGGCAAACAACACGCTGGCACGCATTAACCGTTGCATCTCATGCAAAACTAAGGAAGTGATACTTCCACTGTACTCCGCACTGGTGAGACCGCAGCTGGAGTACTGTGTCCAGTTCTGGGCGCCGCACTTCAACAAGGATGTGGAAAAACTTGAGAGGATCCAGAGAGGAGCCACCCAAATGATCAGGGACTTGCAAGACAAGCCATACAAGGAGAGGCAGAGGAACTTGGAAAGAGAGAAGGCTAAGAGGGGACTTGGTAGAAGCTTACTACTATATCAGAGGAGTACATCAAGAATTCAGTGAACAACTGTTCACCAGGGCACGCCTGGGGAAGACCTGGAGCAATGAATACAAACTCCTAGAAGGCAGTTTCAGACTCAATTCCAGGAAAAACTCCTTCACAGTCAGGGTGTCCAGACTGTGGAATAAACTCCCTCCAGTGGTGGTGCATAGACAAAATGAGGGGCACGTGTGCACAACACTTTAGAGTGGGCTAAATACTTTAGCACCACTTTAACGGTGTTGGCGTTTGCACATCTCAGTGGCGTATTGAACATTAATTCGAACTGCTGTAGGAAATTCGGCGGTGTAATGCACCTTAAATGACTTGGGGCACAGCAAAGTAAAACTTCTCTGTGGAGTTTTAGTTTGCTTCCCCTTCAGCTGTGGAGCAAAGCACCAAGCTCCACGCAGCTCTGTGGCTCTGCAAGAAGCCCTATGGGCAGCCTGGCAGCAGGCTGGGAAGGCAGGCTCCACCCAAGAAAAGCAGTGAGCCTGATTATTTTTTTCCCCCCTGGAACCTGCCTGCCTGTCGGAGCTGTGTGAGGGCCTGGTGCTTCCCTCCTTATCTGCGGTGCTCCCCGGAACCACCCAAGCCAGGTGCCTGTAGGCGGGTGCCACCTGGGGGGGGCTGCC